CTAGCTTTCCATTAAACAGACTAGAATTTAACATTCTATTCAGGAGCAAATACAAACTCATCCAAAATTAACGCACACAGTTTATTGTTGCCTTCGCTTTCATTGCTCATGTCAAATTTGATGGTACATTAACTTTATAGTGCTGGATGACGGTCCAAAATCATTAAACATTAATATACAATTATGAAATAGATTTTTAATGGCGCTGCTTTGTTTTAATCAGGGCCTGTGTCCAGGGAAGTGTTATCACACAATCTGGCAGACTTTGATTTAGGGATGGCTGGTTTTTAATGGGCTGTTCTGTGTGACCTTAGCATTCTGGCACCGGCAAAGATAGCATCTTTGTTCTCAAGGACGTAGAGTTACAGTAAGACATAAACGCTTACACTAAGCCAGAACGCTAAGAGGTCTTTCAAAGTCACACTGACTGTAAAGATAACATGTTCACAACATAAAACAAGAGTCTAAGCCATATGACAAAAATATACTTAAAAGTGAATATGTAAAAGAAGTATCAATACCGTTTATTCTTATTATTCAAGTGGCCTATATCAAACATTAAAAAGGAAAAATAGTGCTGATCTTACAAGTTTTAGATCAGAGCTTTCGGAGTGGGAGAGATACTGCATTTATTTAAAATTGCCTAAGGGAAGATTTAAATCAAGATACTGGACATTACAAACCAACTGTAAAGTGGATGTCGAGTAATGACATGTCCATGTGAATCTGCAGTGAAAAACAGCTGAATTTATCAAGCAACCAAATTGTATATGATCAGTATGGTCTGAATGGTTTAATACAAGCTAGTTTTACTGCTCGCTTCTCAGTCTTACAACCCCAGTCCTTTGGTCTTCTGAAAAATTGGCAAGCCACATTCACTTGAATGATGTACACAGAATTCGAGTGAGCCAGTTGCCAGTGAAATAAATTTTTTAATGCCAGTTCTTTTCCCATATTACCCTGTCACTTTGCAAGTCTCCCTCCCTGTTGTTTTGTTCCTAGATATTTATAGCTTTTGGCAGTAGAAGGTTAATTGAACTATAATGGGTTCATATATGAAATTCGGCAGCAGAGGCATAAAGCTGAGAATTGTAGAGGGAAAACAACACCCTTCCAAATGCCTTTCCAGCTGTTAGTGAATGACTTCTCAGCGCATGTATAGAATCCCGGCTGACGCTCCCATTTTAGTGATAGCGAGTTACATCTTGCTGCCCATTGACTTCCACTGTATATGGACAACAATTTAAGACATTTCTCAAAATATCCAATTTTATGTAATAAAGTCATACGGATTTAAAACAATATGAGGGTAAATAAATGAAGTCAGAATGTTCATTTTTGCGTGATGTGATCTGCCACTTTAAGCCATAGATATATGGCAGTATATACACTAAAAAATGCTGGGTTAAATATAACCCAGCGCTGGGTTAAAAAGGGACAAACCCAGCTATTGGGTTGTT